TTAACTCCAATTCATCACTTTGTCGTCACTTGTCACTTTGTCTCTTGTCTGTTACTTGTTCGTTAGTGCACTTTATGCTTAATATTTTTCTTTTTAACTTTTTAATATTTAAATTTTTTTAACTTTATTCCCTTGTTTTATACAAACCCATAGCCTTAGCCTTATTCTACTAACCCATTGCATTAGCATTTCATTCCACTTTATTTTATTACTTGTGCACTGTTGTCTTGTCTGTCTACTGTCGCGCACTAACCGCCAAGACAAATTCCTTGTATGTTTGACATATTTTGGCTAATAAATGTTTTCTGATTCCTGATTCCTGAAATTGTGAGCCATCAAGCAAATACTTATAAATATTTGCTTATAAGGCCTTAAGGGTTTATAAAGGCCTTAAGGCCTTAAGGGTTCTTAAGGGTAAAGATGAAAAGACCACTCAGTCTGTGTTTGTCATTGACAACTTAGCCAGGCCACTGCTGGGCTTACCAGTACTTACAGCACTGCACCTCATTGAACGAGTTGAAGAACAAGAGGAGAAAGAAGATCCACGGGAGGTCTTCAAAAACAAGTTTCCAAAGGTTTTCAGTGGATTAGTGGATTAGACTTGAAGGCGATTACCAAATCCGCCTGAATGATGACGCCGTCCCTTATGCTCTGTCCACCCCTCGTCGCATACAGATTCCATTAACTGACAAAGTCAAGGACAAGCTGGAAAGAATGGAAAAGATGGGAGCCATCTCTAAGATAGAGAAACCGACTGATTGGTGTGCAGGAATAGTAGTGGTCCTAAAACCCAATGGTAAGATAAGACTCTGCGTTGACCTTACCAAACTCAATGAGGGAGTGTGCAGAGAAAGACACATATTCCCTCAGTGGATCATTCATTAGCACAGCTGAATGGGGCGCTGGTGTTCACAAAGCTGGATGCACGTTGTGGGTTTTGGCAAATACCCTTAGCACAGGAGAGCAGGGAGCTCACAACATTTATCACCCCCTTTGGCCGATATTATTTTATTGTCCTCCTGTTTGGAATTAATTCAGGGCCCAAACATTTTCAGAGACGGATGTCCCAGCTCTTAGAGGGGCTTAGTGGAGTCATATACCATGCACATGATATCCTCATGTGGAGAAAATAGGGTACAACATGATGAACGTCTCACAGCTGTGTTGACACGTCTCCAGGAGGTGGGATCACATTTTTGCACAGCCGGAGGTTCTGTTTGTGGGACACAGAATCAGTGCGGGAGCCATAGAACCTGAGCCTGAGAAGATCAGAGCTATCACAGACATGCCCATCCCGCAGAATGCAGCAGATGTTAGGCATTTCTTGGGAATGGTCACATATATTGCGAAGTTTATCCCTAACTTTGCAGACACCACCAAACCGCTCAGAGACTTGCTATCAAAGAGCAATGAGTGGTATTGGGGCCACATGCAACATACATCATTTGAAAACCTACAAAAAGGAGCTGGCATCACAGAGAGTGTTGGCTCAGTACAGACCACAAGCCAAAACAAAAGTGTCTGCAGATGCATTATCCTTCTGCCTGGGTGCTGTCCTTAACATGGAGTGGCGTCCAATCGCATACATCTCTCGAAGCCTCTCTGAAACAGAGCAATGTTACGCCCAGGTTGAAAAGGAGGCGTTCACCTGGCAGTCACCTGGGCATGTGAAAGGTTGAGTACATATCTCATAGGAATATCATTCACAATAGAGACAGACCATAAACCACTACTGGCTCTGTTGATGACAAAAGCATTGGATGATTTACCTCCCAGGGTGCAGCGATTCCGCCTCAGACTGCTGAGGTTCACATACAAGATAACTTACGTGCCAGGGAAGGCACTCATCACAGCTGATCCACTCTCCAGGGCTCCTGTGAGACGCCCACTGACCAAAGAAGAAGCACAGCTAGAAGGGGAAGTGCAGATATTTATCAATATGATACGTGAAAACTTACCGGCATCCCAGTGTATACTTCAAGAGATAGCAGGGCACCAACAGCAGGATTCCATCTGCAGCGGCCAGCACGCGAAGTCTGGCGCGAGCTTCACGCCGTGCTTCCTTGTCATCCCTGTGAGGTTCGTCGTGTAGTACGCCGATCGGCTACAAACACGCTCAAACTAACACATAAAGAAAGAAAGTCACACATTCACACCACACGCACAAGAAAAATGTGTTGCCAGAAATTAAACGAAATAACAGATGAAAAACACTATCAAACAATTCACCTCAGCACTCCTTCCACTCAGAGAGACCGCTGCTAGTTCAGGTCCGCCCTCCAAAGCTACGACAAGCTGCCCCTCTAAGAGGGAATGGCGTGCTTCGTCGTGGGTCTATCACGGACCACCTGAAGCGTGAAGACTTATTTTACTGGCCAAAAAACCCATGCAAGGTAAACCATAGACGGACAGAGGCTTCTGCGTGTACGGTGCAATATCACTTTTATTTAAACAATTCCTTTATAAAAGCACATCAAAATAATTTATACCAATAGTGATTGACCGGGGGCAACAATGACACTTCCAACAATAATAACACTGCACACTGTTAAAGGCTAAAATAACCACCACTGCAAACTAATAGCACTGCGAATTATGTTGGGCACACACAAATACTATTAATGATCCTGGTTAGTATACACAACACACTAGAAGTCATCAAAAGACACAATATCAGTGTGTTATTTTTATAAATAGAAGGCAAGATGCACTAGAGCATAATACTAGAATAAAACTATAGTCAAAACTCTGTGTCACCAGTTCAGCCTGCAATATACAAAACAGCAATTAATCACTGAGTACCTATCATCCTCATTACACAATGCATAATGTGCTAGCAAGCCTAACTTCCTACCTCCTAGGCCCAAGGCACCTGTGCACCCGCAGGTAGGACTCTGGGCTCACCAGGTCTGTGTCAAGTCTGACATTCTACCATAGGAAACAGCAAATAGAAAAAGTCTTAAAATGTCTAGATGACCTCCTGGGGACTGTTATGTCCTGGGGAAAATAACATGAAGCGCCCCGTTTAATAATGTTATCTTTCAGCTACATATTTTGCCGATGGAGAAGAAGACCGTTGAGTAGCCTTGATGTATGACTTGTATGTGTGTCAATTCTTTCTCTTGCTTGCAGGTATCATTTAATGTTTCATTATTTTACACCAGTGTTGAGTAAGAATTTTTTGAACATAATTGGTCCTTTGAGTCGGCTCTCAAGAACTCTATTGTTTGTTTGGAGGTGAAACTGTGCACAGGGAGTCCAGGACTCTCTCAAAGTCGTCTGCCCTAGTCCGTTACAGGATTAGTTTGGTTGGTTATGAGACCACGCTATTTCTGATTTGGATTTGTTTTGGATTTCAAAAATCAGTGATTGCCATTCTTTGAATTTTTTTGGTTATTCTGTAATCATTGCATGCATCACTAATAAATATTCTAAAAACAAAAATATTTTCAATTGTGATGAATATATATATATATATATATATATATATATATCAATTAGTGACAGAATAATATGTTTTTGGTCAATTTTGACAGCTGTTTGGGGGATTATTTCATGAGGCCAAACTCTTTCTACTTTGCTGTAGGCCTATACTGAAAGGCTGAATACGTTAAAGCCTACCTAATCACTGTAGCCTGACGGATGAACAAATAAAATTAAAACCTTATGAATATATAGGATATCTTGCAAGATACTGCATTTAATGCAGTTTAATCCAGATATTTTGGATGAAAGTGATCCAAATCCTACAAAAAAGTTCTGAAAAACCCAAATTAAAGGTTTGATCCGGATCAAAACCAAGATTGGATTACGTGATCTAATCCGATTATGTAATCCGTTTTTTCTTTTGAAAAATCGATTTTCAAGATTTGATCCAATCCGTTATCCAAAATCCTAGTTTTGAAAAACCGGGCCCAGGAGCCTGACGAGAGTGACGAGAACTGTTTACTAGCAGACCTGACTGGTGTGAATGTCATTACCAGTAAGAAGGCTTTCGACAGTCTCTGGTACTTGGTTTAGGAAAAGTTTGAAATCCTTGGAAAAGTGTTTTAGCAAAGGTTGTTTTTTCTGTAAACTTCTTCTGTTTAAAGTTAAAGACATTTTCTTTCCTGTAAATTCCTAGAAGGGATTTTCTTTTTCATGCTGACAATTGTTTGTCAGAATGTGATGTTAACCTATGTTCATGAAAACAAAAAAATCTCCGGTCAAAGCCGTGACCGTCAAGTCCTAAAAATAGTTCTTATCGTGGTAGTAGAGGTCGTGAGTTCATAAAGAAATCAAGACAATGTCTGATAGGTTGTTGTATAGGTGTAAGTCCCGAAGTGTCAGTGAAATCGTTAAATAGGTTGCTGATTAAGCCGAGGTCCTGAGAGACGCAATAAATACTTAAATAAGTTGCCTAATTAGGCTAGGTCGATAAGAGTACAAAAATATTATCATTAATAGATAATAGGTAAGTAGTTTGTTATATTCTCCGTGGTTCTTAGAGACAGAAAAAAACATACTAGGTTGGCGATACTATCCGTGGTTCATTGAGACTGGGAAATATATAAAATGGGGTTGATCACTGAGACTTTAGAGGGAGATGGAAGTTTATTAAAGTGGATGATGAAAGTTTTTGAAAAGTGAAGATGGAAATTTCTGAATGTAGAAGCATTGGGCAAGTGGAAAGACCATTATGGTTTTGATGCAAGGTAATGGGTTTTATGTGTGATGAGGCGCAGGTGCGCAAGGAGGGAGTAAAAGGAGATGGACAAGTACAAATGAATAACAAGGTATGATATAATGACTCCTGCGTGTTTTCCCCTCCAGGCTTACAATGTGTGTATGTAGATCAAATATGCGCTCTAAAATTACAAAGGCCACTATCAACATGAAGGCGAACAAATAGAGAAAATTGTAACACTACCGTTATAAACCCCCACTTACTGGTTCTATGTAAGAAGATGCAATAAAATAGTTAAACACACGCACAAGAACTCAGGAGAGAAACAACAATCCAAAATGTGCAGGTCTTTTCTTCTTTATTAAAGAGCTGATACTTTATTTGTAAAGTGCAAAAATTACATACAGCATATTGGGCCTTTATCGCATAGCATAGCATGACAATTGACAACGCATAAATGTCTGTGCTGTTGTTTTCACCCTTGATACTAGGAAAGAAATAAGAAGACTAATGCCCTCTGTGGTTGAATCAGCTTGTGATATATAGTGATCGAGGCCAACCAACATGTGTTTATTACAAATCTAACAAGAGTATTTCAGCACATGATTAATGGTGGAGGGTTTTAGGCAATGGGGTCCCATCAAGATGCAAGTGTTAATATATAATGTGCATATGTGAAAAAAAGCTTATTAGAAAATAGATTATCAATACATTTTTTTAAAAGTGCTTTGCTTTCTCTCAGTCCTTCAATGACAGCGGTCACTTGGTAGGTGCTCGTGCTCGGGGATCCAAGGGGATACGGCAAAACACTCCGCAGCCTTCCTGTCACACTCACAGATGAACATCTCGCACTCATTGTTCTTGTCTGGGGAAAATGGATCATAGAAAGAAGGACTGTGAGAATAAAGGAAATGGTGACAAACATTCCTAGAAATTAAAGAAAGTTTAATTAAAACAGGACACATGAAAAAAAAATCCCTTTTGTCTCTGTATACTCACTGCCGCAGGTGACCTTCTTGTTATCCTTGTCACAGCTGTAGTCATAAAGCTCAGTATAAGGATTGTCAAAGACAGGCCAGCAGTCGGGGTGCTGCATGGCGTCACTGTAGCAAAGGTCATGCACTTGGCAGCACCTAGAGGGAAAATAAGACTAATTTGATTCGGATTGGACAAGGTAAATCATCTTTGTATAGTGTGAAGCCGAAAGAGTAGGTCGTGACCTATCCAGATCGTCCACAGGTGTGCCAGAGCCTCCCTTTCCGCAGTAGCAGCCATAGTCGGCGTAGTCAAGAGCAGGCCAGCTGTCAGGCATCACGCACAAAATCATGCTTCTGAACTGGTGCAGAGCCTTGGAGTCCAACGAGTGGGCTATAGCACGACAAGCGGGAACAGTCAAAACTTCTACGCTACTAGAAGGAGAAATTCATTAACAGCCACCGTCTATGCAAGTTGTCAGGTTGTGCTTACCAAAGGAGAGGCCCACAGCCAAGAGAAGCAGAGCGTGGAGGGTATTCATCCTAGAAGTCAGCAGGGTCAAGTGAAATAGCTCTCACTCCAGTATCAGGCCACTCTTTATATCGTGAGCGAGACCCTGAGAGCTGCCCTATCAGCTGTTCTTACGACACAAGGTCAGCATGTGTAAATGCAAGTAAGAATTCCCACACTCTGTCAGAAATCTCGTTTTGTCTCCTGTTCAGTTACAACCTCACCTCTCACCCCCAATCTGCATTAACTAAGTCCATTGCTTGATGACAAATAATAATAATAGGCTCTGTGTCGTACATTTGGCTTCAAATACATGCAAACCATCGCACACCCTTCAAACTCTAAAACCTAGGCGTTTTCTTCTGGCTCCTCTCTGGACTACAGATGCTCTGCCTCATGGTCAGCTAGAGTAGAGTTTGTGGGAGGAAGACTGTTATGTCTGAGAGAAGACTTATGTGTGAGAGAACAGCAGTCCCAAAAGATCAGAGCAGTGTACTAGAGAGGTGGGCAGAAGATTTTAATAACCTGCTTAATCAGTACCTGAAACAGACCACACCATCCTGGAGCCAATGCCTTAATTTCCACCGATTGACCACCTCAACCAAACCCCGAACTTCCTTGAGGTTCTGTCAGTTGTCCGCTCTCTGAAGAACAACAAATCTCTTGGAATTGATCATATCCCTGCAGAACTGCTTAAACAGGGTGGCTACCTGTGTACAAGAGTGCTAGATCAACACATCCGGGTTGATGAAAACATTCCACATCAATGGAGAGATGCCAAAATTGTTACCATATGCAAGACCAACGGTGGCAACCCCAGGGGTATATCGCTCCTTGCTACTGCTGCTGAGTCATTGCTCAGTTTGTCAACATCCTCCAACAGTTTCATGATGGTATAAATGCGAGGGTGACAATAAGAGTACAAGAGTCACAGTGCACAGTGGTCAGTCAGGGGTGTTGTGGTGGCGGGGTCTAGTTAGCTCAGCTGCAGAGGGGAGAGCGGGGGAGTGGTTCAGGGAACGGTGCCGGCGGGTAATGAGCACAGCTGAAAGTCATCCTGACTGATTGTCTCCTTGATATATAAACAGTGAGCAGGACTTGGAGCGAGGGATGGAAACAGACACTCAGGGGCGAGGCAGAGGAGCGGATGCGACGAGTGACCAAACCAGTCTAAAAATAAAAGCCTGTTGTTACTCCCACCCGTGTGTCTGAGTGTCCTTCTCCAGAGATCGCTCCAGCACGGCTACAGGTGTGTACTAGAGCCAGTGCTCTTTAACATTTTCCTCCTATGAGTCACCCAGCTTCTCCATAAGGAAATTGAGGATAACAGTAGTTTATAGGCTAGATGGCAACCTCTTCAACATTTGGAGGTTGCAATTAATGGCCAAACTGCTCAGAGTGAGGGTCCTGAGGCTCTTGTGGCTCACACTCCACAAGACCTCCAGGCTGTCCTGGATGCAACTGTAAAGACCCACACCAGGATGGGGCTGAACATCAATAATCACCAAAACAGAGGAAGTCTGTCATCGGAGCACCAACAGCCCACCCACTCCATCCATCATTAGCGTTTCTGATAAGCACCTGACTAGTACCATCTTTTAAATACCTGGGCAGTATCCTTTCTACAATAACATCAACAGTGAGTTTCAAAGCAGAATCCAACAAGCTATCAGTTGCCTTTGGGAGACTTAGACGCTGGGTCTTTCAAAACAAATCTCCACACAAAAATCTCTGTGTATCAAGCTGTCTGCACCACCACTCTCCTCTACAGTTGTGAAGCCTGGGTCACTTACAGCCGCCACGTGAAATCTCTGGAGCATTTTCAAGAAGCAATGGAAGCCGCCATGGCCCGGCTTCTCCAAGCCCAGGCGCATCAGGTACGTAGCATGGCATCCCTTCAGGGGACAATCGACATCCTGGCCGAGAACCTAACCCCTCACGCTTCCCCAACAGCTCTACTCACAAAACAGCCCCCTGGAGACTGTGTGGAGGTCTTCCTTGCCGTCTTCGAACGAACGGCAGAATGTCTGGCCGGAAGACCGTTGGGCACACATTCTGGCGCCTTTTCTGACTGGGGACGCCCAGAGGGCATACCAAGACTTCGGGACAAGGGAGGCTACAGACTACCCAATGGTGAAGGGGGCCATCCTTGCCCACTATGGGCACAATTTAGCCGGCCGCGCCCAGCGGGTCCACGATTGGGTGTACGACCCCCAGGTAGGCAAGACCTACGTGAGGTGGTGTGGCAGCACCTAGACGTCTTCTCCGACCTGCCAGGCCGGACCACCATGGCCACCCATGACATAATGACAGAGTCACGAGTAAGGGTACGGGTGAAGCCGTATCGTATTCGCAAGGCAAGGAGAGAGGCCATCCGGAGGGAGGTGACTAGAATGCTCCACTGGGGGTCATTGAGGAGTCCCACAGTGCCTGGTCCAGCCCAGTGGTACTGGTGATCCAAGCCGGATGGTTCTTACAGTTTCTGTAATGACTTCCGTTGACTCAATGACGTCTCCCAATTTGATGCCTATCCTATGCCCAGGGTGTACCGAAGGCCTATACACGTCCATGGAGCACCAGCTACATTCGGAACACACGAACACGGCCACAATTTTATGCGGTTGTGACGTTTGCATTTGTGAGTTACAAATATATTTGTTTTCAGTAAGTGTGTTTACACGTATTAAGGAAATTTGATTGTAGTACTATAGAATTTATTTGAACTTTGTGCAGGCAATACAACTTTTACATTGTACTGTTGATTGAGTTGTCATGCACTTAATGTCTATTATTTGTAGTTTGTACATTTAGTGATTTATTTTGTAATGATTTAGGAATTGTGCGCACCTGGAAATGATATTTGAGTGTGGAATAAGCTAATGTTAATGCTTAGTTCCAACTTAGCCCTATTATTTACTGGTCCTGTTGTTGCACTACAGGCCAGGTTTTCCTCTCTCTTTGGAGACGAATGATGGCGAGCTGGATTACAATTGCTGGGAGCCTACCATCCGTGTAGCATCCACTGAACAGCCACTTCCTACTTCCTACTGTGTCCACAGCCTGCCCCCCCCGCACACTCCTCCATAGACTAGTGCTTCAATCCCATATTAAGGACATATTAATATCAGTTAACCACCCCGAAGACCTGTTACATCTTAGCGAGCTAGCCAGGAGCTGGTATGTACAGTAATTAACATTTTGATAACAACAGAAACAATTCATTTAGACTCACCAGTCCAGTTTACCAATGGACGTTTTTAGAAAACTCTGGATAAAAATTCCTAATGCCATCTTAGTGGATGGGTCGGTTGAAAAGAGTTGTTCGGAAGTCATAGATTTTCTTGATCAATACGGCGACATTAAGCGTGATGAGATTATTGATGCTAGTGATTCTGAATTTCATTATATGCTTGTTGTTGAATTTGAGTCAGGAGCGTCAGTGGTAAAAATTGTCTCCACATATGCCGTATACATTTATTTCTGATACAACTAACGAATTTCGTATTAGAAATGTATCTCAAGTTTACACTTCAAAGTTGGGTGGTTCAAAGACTGATACCTATTTAGCTGACCTGAAAGAAATTTCTAAAATGTCTGGAAAGGATTATTCGATGGTTCTTGGTGAAATTATGTCACAGATACAACAAGCTATAGGTCAACTTCATCCTATTGCTGTCAATGTCCCTAAAATTGAACAAAATATGGCTGACCAACCAAAAGAACCTTCAGAGCCATCTGTACCAACAGTGTCAGTATGAACAGCGCTGGGGAACGATTGATTGCACCAGGTGACCTTAATCCTCCTGAGGTGCAGCGCTATGTCGTGGAGCATGTGGTCCGAAGCAGTGATACATCCACGCATGCCACTCACCGGCTGAGACCATTCTCAACCCATGAAATGGATTACGACACCTGGCGGTCTGGCGTTGAATTAGTTCTGCGTGATCCAGCCATTTCTGATCTTCAACGCTCCAGAATAATTCGTGACAGCCTGCTGCCCCCTGCCTGTGACATGGTGAAACATCTAGGCCATGATGCGCCACCTGATGTGTATCTGCAGCAGCAGGATAGAGAAGCAGCAAAGGAGCAAAGAATGAAACCGCATCTTGGAGGAACTAAACAAAAGGTAACCACTCATGCTCACTTTGTAAAGAGGCCGGATGAAAAACCAAATCTGTGCACGGCAATAACAAATTTCATCAAGGAACTTTCACACCAGATGACAGCTATTCAACGACAGCTTGCTGCTCGCAACACCGGTCAGATCAACCGATATCACCCATCAGCTGAAACTGGGGAGAAACGCCAGACCAGCTTCCTCCAATCCAAAACCTGGGTTTTGCTTTCGCTGTGGGGAGGACGGCCACATTAAGCCTCAGTGTGATTCTGATCCGAACCCAGAACTGGTTATAGCCAAGCGGAAGCAGTATCAAGACAGGCAGCAGAAGTGGCAGAGACAGGATCTATCTGCAAAGAAGCATTTAAACTAGCTCCAGTTCCTGGTGTGGGACACCCAGGGGCTAAGCAGGATCAAATTTGTCCCGCTAAGAGTGAGCTTCCTGTCAACTGTTCTGAGTTGCGGTCTACATCACGGAGAGTACCAAAAGGACTTATAGGATCCAGATGTACCGCGGATGTCAGAGTCGCCGGTCACCAAGGTTCCTGTCTTCTGGATACAGGGTCCCAGGTTACGACCATTCCGGTTTCCTTCTACAATAAATGTCTCTCCGATCAGCCAGTTCAACCCTTGAATGAGCTACTCCATGTTGAAGGCGCAGCAGGCCAAAATGTTCCATATCTTGGCTGCATTGAAACTATAGTGACTTTTCCTAAAGACTTTGTGGGAAGCATCATCACTGTTCCAACTCTTGCACTCATTGTTCCGGATTTCAGACCAGAATTTTCCACCTCAATCCTGATTGGCATGAACACTCTTGAAACGCTCTATGACCAGTTTCAGCAATTCGGCAAAAAAAGCGACAATTCTTCCTTCCAACCAAATGCATCCAGTTACCGAGCTGTACTACAAACTCTCCAAGTGACCAATCAACAAAGCTGCAGCGGCCATCTTGGAGTTGTAACTCTGCTCAG